ACAAAGTTCGATTATCGATTCATTTGACTGATCACCTATTAGTGATTTTCTAGGTGATAATCCATGTATGGAGTCAATGTTCACTTACTCAATAGTTACCATTTGATTGGATTACCATGCTTTCAGAAATTCTCTTCCACATTTTCAGCTTGCCTATCATAGGATTTATTCGTCATCCAAATCAACGTTGTGGTTGTACTGGTCTACATGCATCAACATCAATGATGATGTATCACGTCATTTGACTGCTAGTTGATACTCCTAAATTTCCTGAGCTATTCGATGGTCAGAATGATTAAAAATGTGATGTTGGCAGTCTATGCAATTAATTTCATAGGTTATAACCATCTTGTCTTCTTTGCGTGATGGATTCTTCTTCATGTATAAGATATTCTGTAAGGATTTGGTTGGTCTGTGTAACATGTTGATATTGAATGTATGAAGCAACTGGTTAATCGTTTCTGAGGCATCTTTGACATATGGTGAACGACTCACTTAACGGGTTGAGGAAGTTTGCTTTTGGTTTCTATGATTGAGTGCTTCCGTTGCTACTGCTGTATATTTAGGTTTGTGGAGTCCCCAGCTCTACTGAGAAGAACGTGCCAAGGATCATAGTCAGGTAGACTAAATCTCGCCATACGGGTGGGATCAACAGCCACTGACTTCATTGATTGATGGCACTTCCCGGTCTGGCCATCCCCAACCCTCTTCCAGCCAAAAACAACTTTTGCTAGCATAGCACATCGAGGTAGGCGGTGGATCGGCATGTGCAGTACGTGACTAAGCTGTCCCAGCTAACGAAGATTTAGGACCTCATCAGTCGACCTGCCTTCCTTGCCTAGTACTCCTCACTTGACCTCGATATTGCCCATACGATGATTCCACAAAACGCGAGGAATCATGAGAAGGCACCTATGTTTAAAACTCCCCAACCACCTCATGTCTTCTACTTTTAACCGCCATGTGCAACAGTTGCATGACAGGACAGAAGGGATGGCAGTGCAGTACATTCGTCGTTTGACAGATAGGTATTTCGCTGGTCGGCCCCACAGATGATGCATGATGACAAATGCCAAATGAGCCATCTGTATTTCAACTGAGATTTCATCAGCAACCACAGTGTTCAAACTCACTCCACTATACCAGCAAGTGAATCGGCTGACATGTTCCAACACTTCACTCCCTACAACTAAAGTGAGAGTATTTGCTGACCAGTCCTGGAACATCATCTTACATTTGACCAGTTCGAAGGAAACGCACGCCAAACATGGTCATATTTGTGTCGAAGGCTTTCAGAAGACCCTGTATTTGGCCAGTTTCATCATCTATCAGGACAATATCGTCTATCTACCAGAAATCAATCAGATGGCCACCAGGAAGTAGATCAATCCCTGTGAAGTCAGATCTATCTATGGTTGTGTCCATTAATACATCTATAACGAAATTAAATAAAAAAGGTGAAGGTGGACATCCCTAGTGAACACCGCTGGTTGTCGACAATTCACATGACAACTCCACATTAGCCCTGAGATGACTGCACGAGTTAGAGTAGTGGTCTTTGTTTAGGGTTATATACTTTCTCGATACTCATTTCACAGTCAGACACCAGCACAGTACCCCACGACTGACTGAGTCAAATTTCGCCTTAAGGTCAACATGTATGGCAAGTGTCGGTCATTGGCTGGTATGCATGCCTGTATTCCAGAACCTGTCCTTGGGTAAGAATGTTATCGATGCATCCTCGTGCACCTGTGTTTGAAGCCTACCTGGTTTTCCCGAATTTGCTGTTCTCGAACTCGAGTTGGGCATCGGATGACTATGGACCCTAGGATTTTGGATACAATATTAGTAGAACTGATTCCTCTATGGCTGTGACAAGAAGATTTCTCTCCCTCCTTATAGACTGGGATGATCAGAGAAGTACACCAGCCTGCTTTTCATAACCCGCCAAGTCTCTCAACCATCATATAGAAACACTGAATTGACTGAGTTAGTATTGAAAATCCGGATCTTGTTCACACTTTATGCTGAGTCCAGTGCAGTACAGTGCTGTAGATCTTCACTCTGGCTTCAGGTTGATGAAAGCTTATCTTGCTTTTCCAACCCTGGCTGCTTTGACGTCCTCATTTGTGCCGCCGCCTGTCGTTAAAATGAGGCTGATTAGGTAGGTGAAAGAAACTACTTCCTTTAGATTTTTTCTGTTGATGGTGACTGGTGCTAGTTGTTGTTGTTGTTGGTTAGGAATCTTCATCACTTCTATCTTCTCTACATTCACCTGAAGGAGGTGTCGTCTTCGCTGCCTTTTCTGTCAACTTGATGGTTTTCGCCTCTAGATATTCGGGTTTGTGCAACAAGACACTGGAAATAAATCATCATTGGTGGCAAAATCCAATTTTCTAGGTTCTTTACATCGGTCCAGCCAGCGTATGCCCCCCTTCTCGCTTCTCACAGTTTGTTGCATGACCCATTCCAGTCCAGTTGACTATACTCAGGAAGATCATCGGTGATAGTAGGCAACTTTGTCTTACTCCTGTCCAAACTTCAAGGGCATCACTGAACCTTCAGCAATGAATCACCTGACATGTGGCGTCTTCATATAGCTGTTGAATGATACTGATAAAGGTTTTTGGCACCAAAACCATAGTGTTGAAGCAGCCGTCAAATTACCTCTCAGTCGACGCTGTCAAAAGCCTATTCAAAGTGCATAAAGTTGAGGTGGAGATTTGACTACCATTCTATGCTCTGTAGTGTAGTGATGTTGGTGTTTCGGTGTCGGTATTTCTGGACGAGCTGCTGTTGGTGGTTGATTCAAGAGTCTTCTGCAGTGGTCAACCCATTCACTACCTCTCACCGGTTTCATATGAGTTGATCTCCTCCCCCCTCCCCCCAGATAGTAACCTGATTATTTGATATAGTGTTGTCAGGTCTCTGTCCCTCCCACCTGCAGCCTGTTCTGCTTCACTTGTCAATGTGTCATAGGAGTGTCTTTTGTCTTCGCGCTCACTCTTATTCACGTCTTTGTCCAGTGTAGTGTTTTATGCGTTATACTCAGTTCCTCTTTTCCCTGTTCATCCCTACACTGCAATTTTTCATATTCTGCTTCACCATCACCATCACCATCTTCCTCTCCCTCCTCTATCAGCTTCCATGTGTCCATCGAGATGCCTTCCTAGTCTTGTCTTATCTTGTCTTGTCTTGTTCATTCTTTCTTTCTAACACGGTTATGTAGGTTTCTTTCCACATAACTTTCAAAGAGTTCCAGTGTTCCCCCATGCAGGTTTCTTCAGGGATGTTGCTCAATGTCTCCCATCTTGTCCTGATCACTGACTGATGAGAAAATCTAGTTGTAGTTTGTAGTTTCGTCCTTCAGTTCAGTTTTTGTTCTGGGTGTTCAACTTCAACTTTGGTCTATCATCATCAACTACTGTGAAGGCTTTCAACTTGATTTTGCAGGCAGGTTCCTTGGTGTGAACCTACAACTGCTCCTCTTCCTCATCTTGTGTCAAGTAGACTGCGTCTCCATCTCCAATTTTTCCACATTGAGATGAAGTTGATCTGATTTCTAGTGTGTCCTGGTGTCTGATGAAATCAAATTCATGTCGCTGCCTTGTGAATATCCTTATGTTTGTACACACTGCTTCCAGTCACCAAATCATTAAATACGCAGAAATCTGCAAACAGTTCTCTATTCTCATTCATCATTTCACTGAGTGCCTCTCGACATACGATCAGCTGTCTTCCTGTGTTGTATGCTACCAGTTTGACAATTACCTCACCCCACCCATTAGAATGAATCTTGATGTCGCCAACTGGCGTAGGGTCTTGTCCAGTAGTGATTGCAATTGTCTATAGAATTCCTCCTTCTTCTCTTCATCTGCATTATTTGTAGGTGCATAGCGTAGCATTGTATGATTGTGACCTTCCCTCCTTTCGAGTTGAACCTTGCTATCATGAACCTGATCCTGCAGGAGGAGATTGCTTCCAACTGCATGAGAGACAGAGAGCCTCCGATGCTGTAGTGGACATCATGATAGCCACTCTAGAACTCAGTGTACTGTGTTCGTGGTTGTCGTCTGGGTGACAATATCGGAGTAGATTATTAACTCTGCTCTCTGGTTGACAGTTTCTAGAGTCCACTCCCATTCCATCTACTTTCACAAATTCCAAGCACTCCAATGTGACACCTTCTCATCTCGTTTGCAATCTGGGCTGCCTTGCCAGCCAGCCAGCTTCAAACATCGTGCGGACATTTCATGTCACCACGTTCACTTTCACTTTGATCGAGAGAAGAGGAGACACATGTGCTAGTTGGTTTCCCGAAGGCTTTCACCAACCGGCGTCATTTCGCCTCTCCGATTCCACCGAAGAATAATTTTGTTTTTATTTTTTGTATTTTGTTTGTGCTTTGAAGTTTCGTAAGCGATTGGATTGGTTTTCCAGTGTAGGGTGCTAGCCCTATATCAACCTAACCTCTTTACCCGGGCTTAGTACTGTTTAGTAACTAGTGTGCTAGTTAACTGAGTGAGGTTAATGAACATACATTATATAATAATAATAATATTGTAATTAATGCATATAATATGATTGATGAATATAACTAAACCTTTATGTGAAGTACTTTTGATTACTTTCTGCCACGCATTTCTCTTAATGTAGACGTGGTATGATTTGCTTGCTCATCAATCACTTTCTATAACTACCTTACTTTTCACCTTATTTTCACTGAACACATTTGCTACCAACGGCCTCACTGATTGCTGTTTTATATGGTAGTTTTAGCACATCTTATTATCATAACTCAAGATTGCTTGGTCTAGCTGGAACGGTTTTAACTCCTGCGCATTCTTTATAAAAGACTTCGCGACGTTTATAATTCTGCAGGTCCTAATGTATATGGTTTCTACTTTCAAATCGTGTAAATGTAACAAAACTTTTAAGATTTTTATAATTCATCATTTTATTGCTGAAATTCCACCTTCTGGTTTTTATTACACTTAAAGGATTGGTTCATGGCTGGTGTTGCCTCATCAGGTATTCAGTGTGGTCTGAATGGTGTACCGTCAATTTACACACCAGTACATGTCTACAAAAGCTGGATTGATTCCTTTGTGGGGAAGACGAATCCTTAAACTGAAGGATAAAGTTTCACATTACTATTGTAGCTACTTATAAACATATCAGTAGCCTAAATAAATATTTGCTCATTATTCGTTTTGTTTCATATTGTTATCGTACGAAAAATGTGCCACATTTCATATCAAAATCTGATTTCTTAGTATCTTATGATAATATAAAAGTTAATGATGACTCAGTAATATATATGTGTATATAGTGAATATACACATAGTTATGCATGACAATAATAATAATAATAACGACACTGATATTCTGCTGAAGTATCTGTGGGACACAGCGAAACGTTCAGGAAAATATTGTTTTGGTTTTCCAAAGGAGCTGGAATTATCTTAAAGATTATTTATATAGTAACGATAAGAGTAATAATAATAGTCAACTTATTCCAAAGAATTTTGATATGATTTAGAATTCTCAGTTTATAATATTGCAACAAAAATAGTAGTAGTTAAAGCAGTTTAAATCAAATGTGGAATATTAGTAACGCGGATAGTTATACATTGATGGTTAAAATATTGAAAAGAATGATTCCTCATAGTTACAAAATTTTCAGTCGAGTTCTCTTTTTACACTGTTTTCCTCACATAAGCTGCATTCTAGGCATGACATTTAAATTCTTGTATTTAGCTGTACGAGCGCACAGTCTTATATAATTTCTACTTTTCCTCTCTGTGGAGATAGATATAAGGAGAAAGTTGTGAATGAAGTGGATGTTCTGTGTTCAGATAAAGCGACTGTAGCTAGTTGCTTGCCAGAACTTAAATGTTTATCAACCACATTGTTAATCAGTTGGACCAAAGGTACAGCACTCGCCCTACCTACGGCTTTCAAAGCCCTACGTAATATAACACAATCCTTTATTAGTAGACCAAGAAAGATCAATAGAGAACGATAGGTAAGAATCGGTAAAATGCAGGAATTAATACATTTTAAAAGTATAGGTTGAGTTACATCAGAGAGCCCCAGTTTCTTTATGTAGTAAATAGACGAAAGATTTTCTTGGAAGTACACAAGGGATGAGGTGACCAACAAATATCACAGAAAAAACCCAATGCAATAAAGGTAACACTAGATTTGCTCTTTGCGGTCATACCATCAATATAAAAGGAGTCATAAAACCAAAGTATCTCACACAAGTCTAGTCTACACCTGAGATGAAAGTTTAGTTTCAAACGATTTGAGAAAGAACTCTGGGAGATTTCACATAAAGATCATTAATTCAAGCTCAATCTGATCGAGAGATGGTTAACACGGAAATCTTCAAACCATCAGCATACTTAATGGAACTAGTTCTAACTGAATAGTGTGACTCATTCAAAAAGAAAGATAACAGAAACGGAGAAAGTACTGCACCATGAGGCACACCAGCTTCACTAAGCATTGTAGAGGAGCTACTCCCTTCATAAACAGTATACTGTTTCCTTTCAGAAAAATAAGAATACAGTCACTTTGTATCACATTGCTCAGTATGAGCTATCGCAGGCTTGTTTAACAAGAGTGGTCTAAGAACAGAGCCAAGGGCTGATGAGTAATCTAAGGGGGCACAATGAACCTACTTAACACCTTTGTCTAGACTAGAAACAATATTATCACGTAATACAGTGACAGAATCTAAAGTACTTCTCTTGTTTTTGTAAGCAAATTGTTTTAGATCTCTGAAAACCTTCAATGAGGGCTCAAGCACAAGGAGAAGTAACTTCCCCATTGTCTTCAAAAAAGGGGACGTTATAGCATTGGGTCAAAACTTTACAGCTGATCCAGAAGATGATTTAAGCACCGGTACAACGTTAGTTTCCTTCCAATCAGCGGGTATTGTATTTTTTAAAACGATTCATTATGGATATCTGCAGGAGGATGATAAAACATTTGTGCATTTTCTAAATATGGTACTTAAAACGCCTTTATGACCTAAGATTTGGGATCGATTTGAGACATTTAACTATGTCATTTTTACTAGAACTACGAAAACAACTATCCATTTGGTTAAAGACACTAGGAAGGATACAATCAAACTGCCGATGTACGAATAACTGGTTTAACGCATAGACATCAAAGCAGGCTTCTCAAGTTATCTGTTTTCCACTAGTAAGCTCTTTAAATAATTTCTATAAAGTGGAACAGTTCTTGCACAACGGAAACTTAGGGTTGTATATCTTATTTAGACGTTGTATTTCAGACTTAATCAGATTATTCTTTTAACGTCAGGGTGATCTCTCACCTTATGCAAACTCTCTTTTGCTCTCGAGAGTTTCTTGAGATGAGGAGGAGAACGTTTGTTACATCTCATGAAAATAATTGCTTCATGAGCACAGCATACATCTAGACAGAACCCGAGATACCTCGTTATATTAGTGATAGTGTTGTCGAAAACTTTGTTAACAAGTAAACCCCAGTCTGTTTTACTAAGCATGTTTCTCAAACGTAGTGTGTCCTTCTGTGAATGACATTTGTACTCTACTATCTTCTAAAGGTATCCAAATACCTTCTTATGTAATTTCCCACACACTTAGAGCAAAACCCATACAACACAGTAATCAGAGTTCAGCAGTGGAGTCTTTTAACGGGCTTCATATATGTCACAGTCATTTGGGAACACTGAACCTAATATGTTGTCAAGAGGAACAGAAACGTTAACCTGATGTTCATGACCCAATGAAACAAGGAAATTGCAGTTACATGAATTAAAATCACTAATTACATACAAAGAGTTATGCAGCGTTGGATCAGCAAATTCGATAAATCCATTAGTGAAAGCTGATGAATCTTAAAAGCTGTAGTCAGGTATGATATAAATGTTTGTAATGTAAATATGATTGTATTTACTCAAAAGTTAAGGACGATATTTGATAGTAGAGCAATCAATTTTTTCTTTTTCTAACGAAGCTAGAGTATACATAGTTGAAACTTGACCAATTTGTATTGATGTGTTGCTACGCCTCTACTGCATTTCTTCTTGAAAATACATCGATCTCGTTAAAATAACTTGAAACCATCCAAACAAACTAAATCATCATCACACAGGTTATGAAGTCACGTGTTTTTGCAGCGTTATTACACCACTATTACGATAAATATTTGTGCATAAAAGCGGTCGAAGGCAATCGGTAAAGACATGTAGTTTGTGTTAAGTATTTTTAGAATTGTCATTTGATCTATGGTCATACGCTTGAGAGCCCGTTGCTACCCACCATAGTGTTTTACCTTAATTTATCTGTTTTGTTGCACTGTGAAAGATGATAATGCTATTAAAAAGGTGTGAGAGTATATAATACGGTTAGAGGACATGACTGAATGACTAAAACAATGTAGAAACGAAAAATTGGGTATAATATACTCTGTGGCAAGATAAGGTATCCCAAAGTTCAAGTAAGCTGTCGGGATCACAACAATACCGACGTAGTATATTAGAACAAATAAAAAAATAAGTAAACATTTTGTACTTCTTCTCAACATTTTGATCTTGCTGGGTAAACATTTTCAAGAATACGGACCTGATACTAAGCTTTCGAGTTATTATGCAACTTTGATACGGAAGGTTGCCTTTATCCAATTAGGTAGTGATATGGAGTAAAGATCAGCATAATTTAAGTAAGTGACTTAACAAATCTTTCACAGAAGCCTATTCAAGTTGTGCAAGGGAGGTAGTGTATACATAGAGTGAGGAATTTATTTTGACTATGAAATGTACAGTGGAGTTGTGAGTTATCAGGGGGATGCAGTAAGACAAACTACTACTTGAGAAAGATGAATGTCAGGGTGATGTCTATCAAGGACTGGCATCAGCTGGAGAAATATTAGAAACCTGGAAGCACTGGGTATCTGTTTCCATCTAGTATGGGACTCTTCAGCAGCGTGCACCCATAGCCTCATTGTAGATTGAACCCAGGGCCTTCAGGTTCTACGATCAGGGCGTTACCATTGATGTTTCTTCAAGTGATGTCATTTCATGATGAACACCAACCTGAAATCAATAAAATCCCCACAAACCTTCATAAGATGAATATGCTAATAATAAGTTATGTGGAGCAGTGTGAAATGAAATTGCGTCTAACCTTCTCCTTGCATATTATTTGGCACTCCATTACAGTCCACCTGATAAGCAGTTCTGATTTTGTAAATGGGGATCGAGTCTTAGATTGGACAGGCGCGATTGCAGGGTGTTTGTCGCTTTAATGAATACCTTGATTTTGTAACTTTCATCGATGCATTTTATTTCTTCTGATGTGGATGTCCAATGAGGAAGTACTACAGTATTTGAAAATTCTTTTAAATTGGCTTTCTTCACACTATATTATGACAAAAACTTTTCTGTTCTTTTTAGTAACTTCTCCAAACAGCTGATTTTTTCTAAGACTTCTCAAACATGTTGCCTACCTGCTTTCTGAGATTTCAGTTTACTAGTTGTCCTTTTTGATACTGTCGATAGGCATTTTTCAACGTTTAACTTAGTTTCAAGTGGATAGGCTGATTCAAAGTTAAGCTAATTTTTAGAATGTGTATGTTTTAAACAGACACCAGTGCTGGATATACCGTTACTGTTTCGTTTAGTCCTGAAGTCTAGGAAAGCTAACGTTTTGGATTCTGTTCTAAATTAGTAGGTGAATTTTACGTAATTGAAGCGTCTGTTAAGATATTCAAAAAGATTTTCTAAACCTTGTCTTCTGATTATGACAAAGGTGTCACCGAAGCACCTCCACCAAATTCTTGGTTTTAAGTCAGATTGGTTAAACAGGTTTGATTCAACTTTGTACATGTATAGATTAGCTACAATAGGTGAGATCTGTGAGCCCATCGCAACCCCACAGTTGTGACACACAGTTATGATACACAAGGCTTGTTATGACATTCTACTACATACCCCGATCTCAGGTGCTTGGATGTAGTCAAAGAGAATCATTACATGATAGTCCGGTTCGGTTGAAACTAGTATTCAGTATGTATAACCGGGTGATGGTTTACCAATAAGGCAAGATGTACTTTCGGCATTCTGTGACTACCTATCCTTTCCGAATGTTATCAAGTGTGTTCAGTTTGAATAACAACCAGTGAAATGTATCCAGAGCCATG